CAGAAATTCCACCTGTTCGATTTCGTACGTGTGCTCACAGGTATAAGGTTCAACTGGTGCAGACCAGACCATGATTTGCTTGTGTGGTGAGTTTTTCGTGATTGTCACGTTGGTTGGGAGCCCAGGGACTAGGAAAAAAATGAAATCCGCATATTAATACAGTCTGGCGAAGTGTAAACCCTCACTGTAGCGCGAAAACCTGAAAGACCATGTTTCCATCAATGCCCAAAAGAGTCATATGCCTTCCTTTTCATACGGATGTGTTGCCTAGTCCGTTGGACGTACCAAAAAACGCTGAGATTATAGCATTAGGCAGCGTTTTCCATTCAGATTGGTGCGACCTTCCAGCACGCACCATATCGTCTGAACGGGTGCGGCTTTCGAGATTAGTTTTAGAATGCAGTCTACCACAACATCTTGCCTCAACGATGTGGTGGGATAGATGACCATAATGTGCTGGCAAAGGCACTTTTTTCGTCTCACAGCTGAACCCGTTTTTAACCTCAAATACACAGATTGTGGGATTCACCTAGCCATATTCATTCTGACGGTAACCCAGTCCTACATGTCTAACAATTCCCCGTCAATAGCGCCTTCGTTGTTACATCTTTCCTAAGAGAAGTCTTCAGCCACAGACTCGAGGATGGGCTCTTCCTGGGGGCCGGTAGGCAGGTTTCTCACAACTTTAATTGCAGAAGCCCTTGAAAAGGGGTGACAAAGCCTTAGAATGTGGCGTCTTATTCCACTACGCTGTTTTCACTTTAAAGATTCATAAATCTTATCGTTTTTCAAAAATTTTGGTGACAATCGGTAGATTTATTGCTGGGCAACGTTTCGCTTTTCACACAAAAACTTCGTCAGGTCAAGTGATTAGGTTACGAGGTTGGTCGAAATTTAATGAGGCGGAAGGAGAACCAATCAGCTAAGTCAAGCTAAATCTCTGTTGGATGTGGGCCGAGGGATTTTAGTGTGTTAGAGTGGTTGAACAAGTGTTGGGTCGGTGGGGAAACCTACATGTGTTTGGGTCCAGTCTAGGGTCTAGTTCTTCTGGTTCGGTCCATTTGATGGTCCCTCTTGAACTTCGTCTGAACCTTCTGTCAGTCTGTGAGGGTGAGCTGGTGCTAACATAGTTGTGTAAGAGGGATGCTGTGAACTTTGATCGGGTTGGGATTTCCACACCCACCCTCTGTTTTTGATTTTGATTCTACGCGGATTAACAACCACACCGTCACGTGTCAACTCGGCTTATCTAAAACCGCTTTCCATACGCTCACCAGCTCCACACCCTCCATTCTACTCACGCTGTGATGCTTAGTAATTTCCACCGCCTCGGCTATCAGCCGTTGTGGTGTGAATCGCAGTCTCCGTCTTAAGACTTCCACATTCTCCAGATCTATTCTATATCCCGTGCCATCGCTGAGTCCTTAACCAGCCTTTGGTATTCTTCTGTATTCCTTGGTAGTTTGTTAATCCTTCATTTATGCTCACCAATTCGGGTGTGCAATTCCCTGGCAGTTTGTCTTATGTAAACCTTAGTGCAATCGTTGCAGTTAATTTCATACCCGCAGTCCATGGTCCTTTCAACCAGCAAGGGATCTTTCAGTTGGACCAAAACTGAGCGTAGCGTTTTTCCCTTCTGAAAGACTAATCGAATGTTGGCTAAGTTTAAACAGTCTTCAAAACAACCTCCGATGTCCCTGCTTTATATGGAATGACTGCTGTGCCAATCCATTCCTTACTGGAGCCAACATCTTTCTTAGTTGACGCTCAATCAAACTCACTGGGTATCCTATTTCTTGAAGTTTGTTGGCAATCTCAATTTAAGCTGCTGTTTGGTGGGTCTCTTCTGTGCACAGCGTTCTGACTCGACGAAACATCGATGAGAAAATACTGGCGTACACGGACTTTGAGTGTGCTGATCAATAGCTTTGGACGGTTCCTATGTCTGTTGGTTTCTGTTAGATAGTAGTTTTTAATTTCCCACCAATCTTATGTGTTATACAGTCAGAAAGTGTAATGTGCCCGAGGTAGAATTTATTTCCATGCTAAACTTGATGTGTGGGTTTAAACTATTGAGACAGTCGTGAAAGCTGTTCACGTTATCTCGTTTGATAACATCAAAGGTGTCGCAAACAAAACGCGAAAAAACTTTCTATGGACAATGATATCCGACCAAAGCTATTTGTTCGAAGTCCTCCATATGAATATTAGCTAAAAATGTGGATATTGGAGATCCCATTGCAAAATCCTGTTCTTGCGAGTAAACAGTTTTGTCAAAAACAAACTGATCAAGATTCAAACACACCCTTATGCCCTCAACTATTTCATTCACCGAGAGCTGTCTCCGTTCCCCGAGTATCGTGTCTGCCAGTAACAACCTCTTAGTTACCTCTAGAGCATCTTAAATCCTCCTTCGCACTTGAACACCAAATTTTACGTTTTCAGCGACCTTGTGTTGGTCAAAGAAACACTTGAATATGTTGAATAGCAGCGCAACTCAAACGTGAGTTGGCCTACCTGCTGCATACCCAGTTGAAGGTTATCATGGACGAGGAATCAAGTTACCGCCCGTTAACACCGGTCTAATTCGCAAATGAGTATGAATTTTTACGGCCAGGTGATCTATCGACCACAATTTTATGGTTACCCGGCCTAATGTGAAAGCATCGAAGCAATATTTATCGATCTACGCAGCTTCGAGGACTATTCGCTAAGCAGGATGTCAAGATGCTTGAACATACATATGAGAACATGCAGTGGAGGCAGTATATCCTAAGGGCAACTTTGATTACTTTGTAAGATTTAAAGCTCAGGTATGAGGTATCAGACAAATCTAAGAATGAGTCTATACGTGTTGCATGAAAATAACCTACCTTCGGATTGGGACGAAATCGTTTTGAAGTCTGTCTTTTCGCTGAATACGTCTTCGCCGTATTTGCTTTGCAAAAATACCGCGTAGAGAGTACATTGGTCAACGGTGAGCATGGCACTTCTGACTTCTCCCGACACAACCGCTGTTACTGTCTCCTTGGTAGCGCTCGTAGGCTGAGCAGTTATAACAAAACCAGTGATGCGGCAATCCCCTGGAGGTTCAGGTGCCGTCCATGTCAGTGACACGTCTGTGGGGCCCATTGTGCTGACAGTAAGGAGATTGGGTGTGCGTGGTTCTGCATACAAAACATGATTCACTTCATCAGCGAACGCGCGAAAACAACTTCAAAACTATTTGTGAACTGAGTACTGAAAATCTACTGAATATTGTGATACGTGATGGATCCTGACAGGTCTATGGTTTGCGGTGTTGGTGAAGGAGGTTGTCTGTTATTTTTTGACGCGTTGTACATGTATGCTCGTATTAGACAGAATGCGTTCTTCTGAAAACTACCCTTGGTAGTTAGGCCCGCTGCTTGTAGGTTAATCCGGGTGCTTACCTACCCTCCCCAACGTTAGGATCGCGAAACCTGAATGGTTTATACTTCCCAAGTGTAGACTTTTTCCGACGGCGTGCAGATCAATAAGGTCGCACAAAACTACACTTTATTAGTGTCTGATGTTCACCAGTTTCTTCATCTACTCCGCCCATGTATACAGACTGGAGCGGAAATTGAGCAATTTCCGGTTGATGAAAACTTTAATATCCGCTTTAATATACTTAATATATATACTTACTATACTTTAATATCCGCTTTGAGACAATCATCATAGCTTGATGTGATCATTCTGGGGAGTTCACAATCAAGTATATCAAATGACCAATTCCGTCTAGTCCAGTAAGACCTTGTGTGCCTGGGTGTTCCGAGAACGTGCCACATTTACACTGAAACCGCCTGCCTATTGCCCATTTCTATTACACTACTATCAACTTGTAAGTAGCTCAAAATAGTACTAATTACACTGGACGTGAAGTTGTTACTCGAAGAACTGGTCAATACATGACCAGGTGATATGGTTCCTTTGACTGATGGATGAGTGGTGCTATATCCTGTCTGAGTGAGAGATAATCACACCACTGTTCAGCCGACCGTGGCCGACCGGTCAAGTGTTGAACCACTGGTTGAAGATCGCGTGTTCAAAACTTCCCGACTTTCGTCGGACTCGTACTGTTGCTGATCCTCAATGACGATAAAACAGCTCAGCGGTGCTTCTCGGCTTTTCGACATGGGTTGGGTAAGATGGTAACTGAAATTAAATAGGTAAAACTCTAATTCTTCTGCTTTTTGCTTATCAGAATCTGTCTGGCTGCCCCCTAATTGCTTACCTCAAAGGCACCAGCGAGAACCGTGGAAGAGTGGGTTGTCCTAAGGTCAGCAGGTTGTATGCTCTAGTCAAAAGACGAGCGGCTAATCCAACACAAGTTCATCTGACGGAACTTACTTAGGGAAAAAGGCCTCGATTGGAAAGGCGCTTTGGTCTGTAAACAGGTTTTCCGGTTCACTTCCGAGGATCTGAGAAGCATATAGTTTGGTGTAATTGTTTCAGTCCAGATAGCTTAGCAGGAAAATTCTTGGCTTGCGCTTGATTTTCGCACTACAAACAGTCTAGAACGACCTGGATCTCAAATACACTGGGAACTTTCCGGTACCATAATGAAGAGGAGTATTCTGCCACGAAAGGTTTCCATTTTTTGGAGGGATGAAAAACAGAATTTCCGGAGCTCCTCAAGTTACTAACACGTAATAAAGACAGTCAAACATTTCGGACGGTGAACACACGTGTCACACTGTAACTGGCTTTCTAGCTTTTGGTTGGATACTACTGATAAGTGTGCTTTCAAACTACCACCGCCTATGTTGAGCTAATGTAAGAGGTCTTAATCAGAAAAACGCAGTGGCAATTCAGCAGGCCATTGTAGGTCAGGACCTGAAATGTTACTGCTGTGGAGTTTGACCACTTACGCACCCGCAAATCAACCGTATGAAACCGAACGAAATCAGCACGTACTTATCGAATATACACTCATTTGCAAACTAATTTGGTTTTTGGAGAGACTCAACTGGAACCTAGCTGAATCTCCCATTTATGACATTTTCAAGCATCTGAATGTGCTGCACCAGAAGAAGGGCGAAACCGGTCGTGGGCTGTCGAGGAGTATTCAGCAACCTTGTGAGTAGTGCATCACAAAATATACATGTGTTGCGATATCTCGAATATCGTAGCGACTGAAACATGAGGCGACCTGGTGCAGCACATTCAGTTGCCTGGGAATATCAAAACCGAGATTCAGCTGGGTTCCAGGTGAGTCTCTCGAAAAAGCAGACTAGTTCTCAGCAACCTTTTGAGCAGTGCATTACGAAATTAGCACGTAGTTTGACCGACGTGGAAACCGGAGAAGCGTGACCCCAGTCTATCGGACTTACTTGTTGCCTTGCTAACTAGCCTCACGGGGGTTGATTTCGGTCCGGCGGATTCGAGCTTCCTCCGCTGAATGTGGACCGTGTACTCGTATTCCGTGCATGGTTCTAGCTGGACAAAGAGTTTTTCTGGAACAAAGCAAGAAAAAAAGACAACTTTAGTAAATCAATTTCTCTGTGGAACAAGATTTCGGAACCAGAAATGAAGTGAAAATACGGTCTACAGGTTGGACGTCTTATTGGTCATATGTAGTGATTTGCAAATTACTTTGGTGTCTACGGGGTGGAGCTCGGCTAAAACTCACTGAGGGGATCACACAAAGTACCGCAAACAAACCTTAGAACAAATCCGTGCACTCCTATTGAGGATCCAGGCAGATTGCGTCTACATGTTTCTCTCCATGGTCGCAAAAACACGAGAAACACGCGCGTCATTCATCGTGAATGGACCATTTTTAAATAAAGCGAGGAATCGACCATCATTCTGTCACTGCCTTTGGAGGGTCACGATATACTGTTGCCAGGAGCCCGAATCGTCTCTACCCGTCTAACGAGTGCCTCTCAGAAATGTTGCATACGGTCTGCAGCCCTCCACACTGACCGAATATTGCCTATCAGTTTGCCACACCGGTGCATACTGACCCCACTCATCAATCGTACGATTCCACTCAACGGATTCCTGTTGGCAATGAGTGATGTTGAACTTAGAATCAGCAGACTTTTTTGATTTGGTGTTTCTCAGTTCTTGATCTGATCTTGATAACTTGCCTATTGGTGAACAGTCGCCCGTGAATAGTGCTGACTTAAGCAGTGTCCTTAATTATGGGCTCTCAGCTTAACTTACCCAAAACCCAGTTTACTGTACGTTATTGTTGATAAACTCTACGCATTTTAGGACTACAAAAGTATTACTACTGAAATAAGTTGGTCTGATTTCCAAGTGGACGGTGATGAACAAACTGTGACGTCAAGGAATAGTTCAAAATGCAGCCCACGATTGACAGTTCGTGTACTATTCGTCAGAGCTGATTCGAATCGAAAGTAAACCGAACTCCATTGTTTGTAGCCTCACCTAACCACAGTTTGTGGATCGCAGTTGCATTACCGGGGCCAATGAGCAACAGGGAAAACGGATTCTTGAGTGCTACTGGAATTTTGCATCTTTTGTAAGAAGGAAAATTATTAAACCTTATCGATTCTCCCGCGACAGGAAGAACGAAATGCGTTGGAAAGTTCAGTAAATGAAACTCCACAAAGACGAGATGGCTTACTAGATGTGACGGTTGCGTTATTATTGAGTACAAACTAGTGAGAATACCACGTGACACAGTATCAGGAAGGTTAGCTTCCTGAAATCAACCCCTGAATGCCCGAAAACTAACGAGACTCTCAGCTCCGCTAGATGTTGACCAGACAGACAACACCACCTCAATATGCAGCGCCTCACAGCCTCGTACCAAAACTAGACATGTGCGTCGGCATTGGATCGAGTTCAGACAGTGTCCCTCCAATAAATAGCTTGAGACCGTTGTACACAAGGCACTCGCACGCACTCACGCTCTCGCACTCGCTTGTTCGGGATATAGCGGTTGTGTTTCCTTCTGTGAGTCTTTTTTCTTTGGCATTAGACCCTGGTGCGGGTCAGCAGCAGATACCACAGATTAGCGAATCAGCAGATATAACACGCAGTAAGGTAGGTTGGTCCGCCCGAGAAGCCTAGCAATCCGATAGCTATGCTGAAAGAAACTAGTCATCCAGTTTGACTTGTCTGAAAGCAAAGTAAAGTATAGGTTTTTGGTCGTTGTGGAACTAGTAGAATTCACGTTGGCATCAGTTTCAACCGAACAATCGTCCTCCTATCCTGGGCATTTATTCCAGTGAGTTCATACCAAATAGGAAGAGCAGTGGACTTAGTGGAACTCACCGGCAGTGCGTATCCTACGCCATGCCGGAGTTTGAACTCCGGACATCTGACATCCGATACGAGCGTGTCACCACTACTCTACGCTGGACGCAGCAGAATTAAGACATTCCAATATCACCCATACATCTACCTCTGTGTCACCTTTGTAAAGTCATCAAGTGCGAGTGGACTCAATGATGTCTACATCGGAGTGCCATAACGACAATTAAGGGCTTGAATGCCCGGAAATACCCCTTCCAAACTGACGCAGGTTCCCTGACGTCAGGTTTGAAATTCTTCGTTAATTGGGTACCCAAGAAAAACGGATCCGTTTAGTGCAACACATTGAAGTTTGAACGGCACCAGGTAGGTGTTATGAACAAGACCGTGCTATCACGTGTTATTACGTATTCACCTATCAGAGCAAAACAAAAGATCGATTGTCAATGACGGCGTTTTCCTGGTTCTCTCGTGATAGATGAAAAACACGCAACCTACCAGACTTGTTAACTTTCGCAAAATGGGCTAGAGAAAGCGAATCAAATCTACCTCAGAAACGCACCTGTTGCCGTTGTACGACGGATGTATACCGTGTTATTCCTTTTGTTTGTTTGCGTGACCACATAGAGGTAATCACAAATTGTCTGTCCACTCAGATCGTCCCAACTGACTCTCTGAATTCCAGGCTTGACATTCAACACGTAGACGTTTGGTGCAGGTATGTTAGCAACTAGTAGAAGTTTGAAAAGGTTGAAAGGTTGGAAAAGAACCGGTTGGAACGATCTAAATTAAATGGATTTAATCTTTTGATGGTCCAATAACACCTAGGAAAAGTACTCATTTGTACTCAGCAACGCTGTTGACCAATTATATTCTTGCGTAGGGGGGGCGCGCTTCATAGGTTAGCTTTCTACTGACAGCGCCAGACATTTGTGTGCATTATTGAGAGGTGTAGATATATTCAGTTGAAAACTCCGAGAGGTGTGCAGTCATTTGGGAATCGGCATTGACAAGGTAGTTGCATAATGCTTTTCGGCTTCAGAAAGTACACAAGTGCAAAAGTTGTGTACCTCTTAATGTCGAATCCTACCGAGTCACTTTGCCATTCATTGGAGTGAAGAAACCGGCTCTTTCTGTAAACAGACTATGCTGTTAATTCATAAAGACGTTTTACCGGGTTCGTATTCAGAAACTTTGATAGGTTCTGCATGCTAAACACTGCGGGAAATGTCTCCGTATTCACTGTCTTTTCCGTCGCGACGTAGTGCGTTTTCAACCATCGAATACGTCCCATCCAAGCAGTCAGTCACCCTCGTAAAACAAATGCAAAAGTTACTCCGTGCCACATCAATAATCAGTAGATCCGGTCACGAATTCAATAACTGGAAGGTCTGTCGTTCGAACCCGACCTCTGCCTCTCGACATCCACTATATGGGTTTGGGCAACCTGGCAGCATCCCAGTCCTCGTGCTTCCTTCGGGTGGCATGTAGCGCCGAGAGGGTTCTACAGCTGAACGATATTTCTTCAAAATCCGGCTACCTCACAACGTTTCCTTGTTTACGAGAACTACCTTGTGCCACAGTTCTGTCCGAAAAGTTGATCTTAAGCCAAAGGATTCTACTCTGTCACGCGTATACCCTTCTGACATTTTATTCAACAAGGCGTCGGACTTTGTTAATCACGTGGATTAGTAATTAAATGGACTGTGGGCACTGAACACCGCTCATTCAGTGAACTTTAATGGAGCAGCTTCAGGTAAAGCTATTCTATCCGGTTTTCATACCCACATCTTCGCCTCTCATTAGTCCGATATAAGTGAATCGGTCTTCTGTTGCAAACAGTGCGGAATTCATCTCCTAAAATGCAATGTCTTGCGGAGCCATTTGTGTCACTCCTTGGTTGAAATTATTCCATGTTGAAGGAATCCCAAGACACCTCACTCAGGTCATCGTTTTTGGCATTGTAAAAAACACAGAGCTGATGTACTGAATATCGACTCAAATGAACCTAGTGGCGGTTTTTCGCCGTACTACAAAACTTGTGATCTGGGTCTCAAACGTCACATCGCCTCAATTTACGTATTCAGTAATCTGTACGAAATTTTAGCGAAATACACACCAATTTGTTTTTGACAATAGACTCACGTGGACCAAGCAAAATCTCCCGTTTATGATGTTACTGAGCAATTCAATGTGCCGCACAATACCGCCCAGTCATTCAGTTGGTACTAGATTCGAGATACCACAATGTGTTGCCTAAAAGTGAGGACACTACTCATAAGGTTGCTAAAAAAATCTTCGACAGCCCGCGACCGATTTCGCCCTTCTTGGGAGGTAGACAGAGTCCCCAAATTTCTCTCAACTCCATGTTCCACATGAACCCAAATTGTAACCTCAAGAGTAGAGCGTTGCATTTGTCCCAGTGGTTAGAGCGTGAAGTTACTGACCGGAATGTCCGTGGTTCGAACCCATCCTCTGCCTTTCGACTTCCTCTGTCCAGGCTTGAGCAATCTGGCAGTAGTTCAGCCCTCGTGCTTACTTCGGGCGGGGTGGCAGTTAGACACCGAAAGTGCGTTACAGTTGAATGATGAAATATTTTCTACACCTGAATCTTGACTTTCATCTCACTCGTTCGAACGGTAAGTGCGCCGTGCAGTTCAATGTCCCACGATTAGTCCTGCTTTTGAAACCGTTTTGATATTTTCAATTAAATAGAGGCAAGAGACACACTGGATTCGTGCTCAGCTTGCCCATTGTTCAGGTCCATATGAAGTAATTCCGAGTTGGAGAGGTTTTCATGTCTGTCACGTTTTCCTTATTGAAACACAAAAAACTGGTTTTCCGGGAAAACGTTTTTGGAATAATGAAACTTTTGTCGTATTTTCTCTGAGCAGTCTGGACGAGGCACTCAAACTACTTCGTGGGTGGCTGTATTGAATGGTTTGAAGAGTCTGCAAAAAAAGTCCGTTGAAGCCATTCAAACGCTTTCAGAATCCTTTCAGACCTTTCGAGCTTCAGGAGTTATACTTGGTCTGGTCAAAAGCACCAAACGAGAATAGTTGGTACGTTTTAGTTCCGGTGGTCGAATAACTTGGGAGAAGCCGTACAGGAAGTCACCAACTGAAGGTTCTGACATTGCACAAACATCCAGTTATCCG